AGCTTGAACAGCCCAAAGAACTGCTGAATCAGGTATTCCAGATACTAGGAATTGAGAAGATTAGAGATGTGTAAGTACATCGTCGTATGTTTCATTTCTTAACTTGGTTTCCGTTTAGGCGACAGACAAATCAACTAGACAAACAAGTGACGATGGCTGTCGAACTGATTCGATCCGCGGCAGAAGCCTTGCGGCACCCTCAAGACATCGCCCAGCTCTCAAGTCACTTATCGCTTAAACTTGCTGATAAGGAATATCTTCTCGACGGTTTCAAGCTTTTGATAAACTCCAGTGACCGAGACGAGCAGATTCGTCTTCTTACCCTGGCTCCACCTGAATGGGGACGAAGAAAAGTTGAAGAATACTTCGAATGCTCTCGCTATCTGGCTCAAAAGAGCATCTCTGTTCGTGAGTCATACGGCAAGTTGGCCGTACCTGTTGACTGGCGCGGCAACACCTGTCTTGATCCGCTCCTTGTCCAAGAAATCATCGACTTCTACAGTGATGATGCCATCAGCCGTCAGTCTCCTAATTAAACGTGATGTAATTCACATCCAAAAGAATCCCATTGGCATTCGACACATGTGAATGACCGTAGGCCAAGCTTATCAACTCTTTGTACAACAGTTGCAAGCCAAGCAGGCACTCAATTCTGTGCAAAAATCGAGCTTTTGGAACCTACGTCCAAAATGGATTAAGGTTAAGAAGCCACATGATGTTTGTACTTGCTTTTATCATGAGAACTTCGAACTACTCGTTCAGGTAGAATTCCACATAAAGGAACCCAGAATCTATTTTATTTGATAGGGTTGGAACAACCTGGATGTCAACACCATGGATATGAAAAGTCTCATTGCTGAATGTGTGTGTTCTTCGCAAACAGAAACATGCTATTTTCGAGAGTGTGATGACTGCAAGTGGTTGCTGCCTGGTAGCTTTCTTTTCAGTGAGCTTCTGTGTTGGCAAAATGTGACAGTCGATGATAGTGTCACTTGGATGACTTGGAAATCAGTGAGTGTCTCCCTCTGTGCATTGTTTACCTATAATCTAAAGTTGATTCTCTCCAGCCCGTATCGTCGAAGAGGGTGGGTGATGCTGACGACGAGCCGACCACAGTTGCAAAGATCTCAATGCAACGTGTCAGCGGCTCGATTCGTGATCTGCTTGAGGAGTTCGATGTCAAGTGGGCAAAGTTTGCTGTCCACCACTACTGCACTCGTCAACAGCAAGAGTACATTAAAAAGATTAAAGAAGAAGCTCGTGCAAATGGAACAGCGGTAATCCAAATAGACTTTGCGGAAAATTATTCGCTGATTGTTCAGCACGAGATCCAGCAAGCTCACTGGACAACCTCACAAGCCACCATTTTTACGGTACACATCACTGTAGACAAGACCATTCAGCACACCCTCGCTTTTGTTAGCGATCACCTTGATCATAATATTGATTTTGTTCATGCTGCTCAAAGTGTAATTGTTCAATTCATTCGACATCGCTATTCCACCGTGAAACGAGTTAACTATATCACCGATGGAGCTCCTCAACACTTCAAGAGCAATAAATCGATGCTGAATTTAACTTATCACGAGAGTGACTTCGGAATTCCTGCCGCATGAACATTCTCTGCTACAGCACATGGGAAAGGTCCAGTTGACGGGATCGGGGCAGCTCTGAAATACCGTGCAACTTGTCGAGTACTCAGTGGACGACGAACAGATGCCATCCTAACGCCACAAGAGCTTTATCAATTCGCCTCAACCGACACCAAGATCAATGTCTTTTATCTTAGTCGGCAAGATATATAGCTAAACTCTGAGTCTATGAATCTGAGCAAACGACTGGCTCAAAAGGCTGTCAAAGGTCAGATCATCCTTTCTAACATTGATAAACGATTTCCTTCCTTTTTTGACAGGTTGGATTCACGGAATTCGTAGTTTTCATCAATTTGATCCTTTGGCAGTGAATCGTATCAATTGCCGCAAAACATCCAGTAGCTCAGAGTCAAAAACATTCACACTTTAACAAGTTCTTCCCCGGTTTTTTTCTTCTTCTCATGCTTGCAAAACACGGCTTTTCTAATAATTAAAATATTAACATTGCTGTACTGATCTATTAAGACATATGTATCAATGGAAAATAGCATAGATTCAAGATAGTTCTCCAGAGATCTTTGTAGAATCTCGCTGGATCTAAGCGATCTTCTACGTACCGCTACGGCATGATCCATAAAACAAAGTTTTTTCAGATATTTTTGGTTCAATTTGACCAAAAAATAGTTATGATTTTTCAAAAACCTATGTTGGTTTTCTAGAGACCCGTTCTCGGTGAAATCTCACCCCCCCCCCCCCCCGACGGCGCACATATGGTTCGATAGATCTTTTGATGCTCTATCAAATGAGATATTTCACGAAGTTTAGAGTTCTCTATTTATGGAGTTTTTGGGCCTGGAATACTCGGCTATTGAAAAGAGTTTCCAGAGGCCCGTCGTTCTGAGACGCATCCAAAAACTTTAAAAAAATAGTGATTCTGATAGCCCTGATGATAAGAAATCCAAATCTATCATCAGAATTTCTATAGCACAAAGTAGTGCAAAACTACGTGTGTTACAAAGAATAAGGTGCTTTAAAAAACCGTTCCGGAGGGTACTTGGTATTTGGGCTACAGCTCTTCAACAAGACGTCGTATAACTTTTGTCCAAGAACAAAAAAGTCTTAGAAGTGATTATTACTTAAGCCCTAAAAGTTTCAAACGATTTGGTGAACGTTGTGTATATCGTGTCACAAGTACCATGGAAGCGCCCTGTACTCTGTTGGGTTTGATAATGGATCAGGAATATACCCAACTCTTTCAGAATCAGTTTCTTCAACACCTATTTTCTGTTCCATTGCTGACATGATGGATTCCGGTACGTCGTCGTCGGGTAGTTGAGCAATATTCTCTAGATTGATCTCGATGTTTCGATAGAGAACATTATGTTGCTTTAACCAATTCAATGCCTGAATAATTTTTTTCTTGCGTACCGTTAAGATTTTTCGAGGATGAATATGTTCAGGTGGACGAGCTCCAACCAAAATCACTTTAAGTGTATCACACAGATCATCAAGTACAAGTGGTAGGCTAGTAACAATATTTGGTATATTTTGAGGAAAAGTTATACAGTTGCCTTTCAATGCTGCTTGTGAAGTAGTAACTGAATGAAAAGGCGAATGAAGTTTTATGACACAGCTATTATGACGATAAAGCGATATAAATTTTGCTTCTGGAATCGTTAGACCTTGTAATTCAGCCGGCACATCACCTAACCATACATCATTGGCAGCTGAAAATTTTGGAATGTGTCCTTTCGTTAGAGCATCGTGACATTTTTGACAAAGTGTACACATTTTTGTTCTGTTTTGTTGAAACAAACCATTATTATATAAGAAAATATCATTCTCGAAATAAAAAGATGATGACTTGGTAGTTGAAGAATCTAAAATTATTAATAAGCATTGAAACACCTATAAATTGCATATGAGAAGCTATTACTTTGTCTATGTTCAGCCATAGGTACACTAATATTTTGTGCAGTGGTTATGATTTCCTGGTTTGAATGTTCAGTATCTGATGACTGGATACTTCTGATTAAATTTTTGAATTCATCGGAAACTTTCAGTAAATGGATGTAAGGAATTTTTGAGAGTGGTACTTTTTTCGACTTTTTGCGTGGAGTGTAGGCGTTACAAACTCCACAGGTAACTTCGGCCAGTTCTGACATAGACAATCGATGTACAAATTATTGTAAACAGGCCTCTTTTAATTCACGCGATATTGGTTGTGGCCATACAGGGTCAACGGACCGTTTTTCTCTCCCAGAAGAAATCTGGTTTTGTATAGATTGGTCGATGTCCATACTATCGCACAAGTCAAGATCCTTCATTTCAATCATACGCAGTTCGATATTTTCCTGCTGAACGTTTATAATTTCAGTGGCACATTTTCGAATTTTCTTCTTCATTCCATTCGATTTACTTCGCTTTTTGTCTTTTCCAAGTCGAGTCTGACGTTGTTCTTCTGTTTCATTCATTCTTTTGGATCGACTTCGGTCTTTTTCCTTTTCAAGTCGGATTTGATGTTGTTCTTGTGTCTCATTCATTCTCCTAGACCGACTTCGGTCTTTTTCTTTTTCTAGACGAGTCTGCCGCTGTTCTTCTGTTTCATTCATTCTTCTGAATGCGCTTTATTCTCTTTTCTTTTCAAGTCAATTTTGACGCTGTTGTTCTCTGCTATTTTGATCTTCATTCACTACACCCGATATAGTCGAGCCAGAAGAATTGTTCTCTACATTGATTTCAGTTCGTAACCGTCTGTTAGGAGATGCTTGAAATTGAGGCATTCGTACTTGAATAACAGTATTATTCTTGAAAGTTTTCTTTTCAGGAGTCTAAACAAATTTCAACAGTTTCAAACTCCGGTTTACATGTAAATCACTTACTGTAAGAATTAACGTTGATTGATTGCTATGACTGAATTCATTTTGGTCGACAGGTGACAACAGTGGAACAAAATGATTGGGACTCCAGTTGTTGTTATTTGTGATTCTTGCACCTATCTCGTTGAGGGTGTGGCACCACAAAATTGTGATGTTACAATTAGCAATAGTAGGTGGAACAGGTGTATGGACAGTATTCCAAAGTGCCATGTAGTCTTGCATATTAATATTTGGATAGACACTTCGTATATTGCATTTAAGCACGCTACAGAGCGCATCAATTTCATATAATTCCGAAAATGTGTTGTTTTTGCACACAGCTCGAATAGAAATACGTATCAATAGGTCCAACGAAATTCGAGTAAATGTTTGAATAATACGTTTCATTTTTAACCAATTCTACAATCGTTCGAACTAGAATCATTCAAAAGCAAATAGTGTACCGATATAAGTAAAATACGAATTTAGATACCACGTAATTCATTTGTTATCACCATCGGATTATTCATCAGAAGAAGAATAGAATGGTATAAACAGTTTCCGTCAGCAGGAACTTTGACTGGAATCAGATGACGTACATCATTAGCAGCCTTTTCGACATATTCCATGGCTACTTCATCTACATTATATTTTCTCTCATCAAAAACTTAATTTGGATGGAATTCAATCGGTACCATTATTGATTCGTCCTTTAAGACAATGATTTAAATTTAGATCCTACTCTAACAAAACTTACCTGTCCAATTCGTTGTACAACAGAAACAATTTCGTCATAATACATAATACTTTCGGAGCATCTTTCCAAAGTTGCGAGTAAATGACCAAATTTTTGAGAACGGCTCATCGGATTACATTTTAAACAACAACCACCCGTACATTGCATGGAACAAAACACACATCGTGTATTCATATTTAACTTCAACGTATATATGAATATAATACAATCTGAAAAAAAATAATGTTTAAATTCCCAAAACTCGACCTGTATCAAAAAACAAAGACGTCTTAACCCATAGTTTCCAGGAGAATTATACATAGCAGCGAAATTTGCTAACAATATGAAGATGATGATTAAACTTTCGAAATAAAAAAGTATTCCTTTACAGCTGCCTGACCTTGAATTCACACATCCTCACCACCATCAGCAGTTATACGACCTATCTAAAGCACTACATCCGACACTAGTTCAGTGCGTATCTTCCAAAAAAACAACCAGATTTTTTTCTCATCTTGATCAAGATACTTATCTAAATCTGAATCCTGCATGTAAAACAGAGAAATTCTCTGGCACAAAACTCAATGTCCAAATGAAATAAGGTAACTAATGTCCGAAATCAGATTTTCTCTGTCTCTGACTGCATCCGACTATAATCCGATATATATCTGCGAAAGAAAACAATAAAATTTTCTTTTTCATATCGATGATGATCCACAACTACATATGGAACTTCACGATAAATGAGAGGAACTCTCACTTAGAGAAGTTTATCTAGGATTAAAACTGGTCTTAGATTATCATGAATCACATTTGTTGTCGTTGCCACCACATTCAGTTGAAGTTGAATATATATTGTGAACGGAAAAAATTCAATCTTTTTTTCTCATGCTGATCATTATACCCATTTGTATATGACCGTAGCTTCTCAAAAGAGGTAATCTTTAATTAAAAATTGTGCTGCTTAAATCATTTAGTAGCTTTCTATTTCGTTTAAATAGCTATTGACTAGTTTCCAATAACTATTTAAGAGATTCTACTGATTTATTTTCCATTCAATTAGCTATTTCAAATTTTGATCGTTTTAACGTATTTATTAGAATATAGAAATTGTTTAACGATCACGTAAGCCGTTGAGGCACTGAGAAAAAAAATTATTAGAGAGAGTCTAGCGGAGATGGAACAAAGAACCACATAGTTAGCATTAACCAGAAGTTTTTCTAAAAAAACAATTCATACAAAAGAGATTTATTTTCTTACTAACAAGTTCTTAATTCGATTCAAAAATTATTTTTTCTGATACATTTGTATCCGAAATATTAAAAAGCCAAGCTAATTACGGAATTGAAACGTGAAGCCGATGAAATTTTTCATATCTCTCTAGGCAAAATAGACAAAAAGCAAATTGGGGCACCAACACGACCGAGCACGCCCATATGTATTCGATTAGTATTAATATCAGACATTAATAAAACAATCATTGATAGCAAATAATCCGAATTATTCCAAAATAATTATGCATTACAATAAATATTATTAATATTTGTTAATATTAAAGTAATGATGATAAAACAATTTGTTATTTGTTCTATTGAATATTGATTTGTTTCTCGATGAAAAAAAAAGAATCGATTGACTTATGAATAATAAATATTTAATACAAAAAAAGAATCTTATTAGATTGATTGATCTAATCAATATAAAGAAATCAAACATTTTATGTAATAGAACAAATTGAGACGTGTTAAACGATATTTAGTAAACTTTAGTTTTATAAAAATTTCAAGAAATCGAAGTTATTTTATTATCAATCCAACTAAGCATTCAAGACATGATCAAATGTTAATTTTCGTATTGATAGATAGGAATTGAAATTACTTTGTGTATACAATTTTAAAAAATTTTAAACGACCTATAAATGCATATAGTTAATATATTCAATTATGAAAATTTTTCAAATCAAAAGCATGATTTTTCAATAATTTATCACTCCTTTTCATTGGTATTGGGTCTTACAAAGAAACTACTCTAATTGATCACAAGTTTTCAACTTTATATTTTGGCTATAGATAGATCTCAGTGAGACTAAGAAAATCCTAAATCGATTCGTATCCATAGATTATTGATCCAGAGTTATATAAGATATTTTTTTGAATTTTTGATTTACAACACTAAGGAAACAGCAGAGCCTATAACTGTTGAATCTTCTCTTTCTTCTATTCCTGAATGAAGAAATTAATAGGCATTTTCCTTTTTTCACTACTAACACATGTCGACATGTCGATTACACAAATAGCTGAGATTTACAATCTAACTCGGCTGCTTCTTTCTACGTCAAATCAGAGAATAATTCTTATTGTTTTTGATCTTCTCAGTAATGTAACTTGTTTCATACTTTCAGTATTCTTTCTTCAACTCATTTGAACACTTATTATCGGTCAACATCTATCTCAATGGAGATTATCAATTGATGTAAGAAGACTTTTTTTTTCTATCTTCTACTTGGTCGCACACTAACATAAAAAAGTATCAATCATATATCTGCCACGCGTTGCATTATATTCCATTTATTTGAATGCTACAGATGCCAAAAAGAAAGATATTATTTTCTACAAGCCAAAAGCATTAAGCACTTTTTCTTCGTACTGATTCAAGTTTATTTAATAATGGTAATTGATTTAAATTTAATTTCAAATGATTTCGATCAACTTTTAAAGATTGAAATGCATGTAACTGAATATCTTCATCAAGCATTGGTGGTGGAAAAATAAAAATTTTTGTTTCAATAAATTTCATTAATAATGAATCAATAGATGAATTTGAAGCAATTAAACCTAATAAAAATGAGAAAATTTCAAATAAGAAAGCCAATTAAACATACCACTTTTAATAATATCTCGTCCATGAGACAAAAAATTTAGTAATAAAACTAATTTTGACCATAGACCAGGGGATATCTATTTCAGAAAAATAATTTCAAATGATTTTGATCGACCTTTAAAGGCTGAAATGCACGTAATTGAATATCTTCGTCAAGCATTGGTGGTAGAAAAATAAAAACTTTTATTTCAATTTGCAAAAGGTACCAGAAATTAAAAGATCTTAAGACTAGATGCTTAAAAAACTCGGACACCATCATTTGGAATTTTAGATTGATAGGAGAGAAGTGACATATCAAATAGGATTGATTGATATGGTCAACATGTTCTATAGCTCATCGCTAAAATCTATATCGAAAAGTACATGCTGTTGTGCATTCATTGCATGGAAATAAGTTGTCCCAGTAAAAAATAATCATCCGAGAAAACGGCAAAGAACGCTTTCCAAAAAAGTGAATAATTTTTTTAAAGAAAAAAAAAGTCAATCGTTTCTATGGAATTCATTCTCTATAGTTTCAATCTAGAATGGTAAGGAATGTATTCCATGGCTTCTGAAACGTTTTCTTTTCTTTAAAAAAAGCTCTTATATTTTTGGAATGCCGTCTTGATCATCACCGCTTGGAATCTGATTCTGTTCGTTCCCAAAAAGAAAGAACAGGGATCCATCCTATTGGTGTATGGAACGATTCAGAAAGCTTTCTATCTTGATGAAAAACGATTTTTCAACCAAGAGGGTATTCTGTAAACTATAACTGACTGTGCTTGTTTATCGCGGGAAGGAACTGCCCTTTTCAACTAAAATTTTCACGATATTCTATGTCATAAACAGATGTGTGTGTAAACAAGATCTCAAGAGTAATATCGTCATTCGATTTATTAATGATTACTATGGCATCAGTTGGACCGAAATTCTAGTAGAATGCGTATAACTGTAAATAGAAAACATAAAGAGATTTAATCACTTCGGGTGACTCACATTCCAGTGGGGCCTATGTTTTGCACAAAGTCTAAACTCAAGAGAGACTAGACAGTCGAAAAAGTTCCCTCATAAGAGTTGTTCGAACGAAATTTTGATATTGTTTAGTGGCGTATCGAAGGAGCGGGGCGGGGACAGGTATGATTCAGCCCTACCATGGTGAAAATTCCGGTTACGTCGCTATTATTATATACAGTAAACTGGCAAGTTGTGGATCATAATTCTTAGCGAAAAATGATGTATCATGCTACGAAACTGTCTAATGCTCGGCAGAAATTATTCAGTCGTACACGCAGCGAAAAGTGGTCTTTTTTTATGCATTCGAAGTAGAGACAATGAGAGGAGCATGATCGGGAATTGTCTGCAGCTGTTGTAGTTGCGGAGGAGAACTAGGTGGTTCAGTCTCTTGTAAAACCGAAGCCGAACTCCTTACTATCTCTGGCGATTGTTGTTGTGCAGCCGGAGGTTCGTCAGTAGTAGGAGTCGGTGACTGTGGGTGAGGAGGAAGAGCGAGAGCAGAAACTTTAGCAGCTTTTTATGCTGCCTTCTTTTTCTTGAATTCCAACCATCTTTCATTACTTGTCTTTTTCTTTTTAGGTTTGACTGCAGGTGGTTTTATTCCGCTTGCCACTGAAAAAGTAAGACCTGCAGCAGCTGCTGTTGTGGGTTGATCATCAACAGTATTAGTAGTAGTTGTAGGTGGTGATGGTGGAGGAAGTAAAAGGAAGTCATTGACTTGTTTTTTTGTTGCTCTTTTTAAATTAAGGAGTTCTATACGCCGCTCTTCAGCTCGGATTTGTATTAAATCCGACTCTAATGCTCCTGTTCCAGTATGTCGACGGCCTCCGTCATCAGGGTTGGGAGTCGGATTGTCCCTACGGACACGTGGTATCCGACCCAACCCCTCAGGGCGTTCGCAAGGCTTAGGGCGAATCCTAGCTTTAGAACGCCGTTCGGCATACTGGCCAATCGATTGGTTGGCTGTGGGCACCTGGTAGCTGTAGAATTATTCTCCAGCAGGCACCCTGAGGGTGAGGGTGAGATCAGCTACCTTGACACGCGTTTCGTCCAAGCTAAAGGTAGTTGTGATGTTTGTTTTATATTGAGTGTGGAAGGAGACTTGTTAATCTTCGATCTGAAACAAAAGGAAGGGTAGATTAGTATTCATTCTATTTAAATATTAAAATTGAAGAAGAATTAGAAATTGTTTTGGATTGTATTTTTTTAATCAAGAGCTTTGTTTAGTATACGTTTGAAATGGATGAATAATGGAGTATGATTATAGAGTTAGTATATGTTTCATTTTTTTTGTGATATAATGCACATTAAAGGATAGTGGTTGGTAATTGGCGACATCTTCTAAATTGTAAGTTGTGGATCCTTTCTGTTGCTGGTGTTTTTCTTTTTCTTAGCCGTTCTAGATAATAAATTTCACAATACATATGTATTAAAGACTAGGATGTCTGTAAATATTCGATATACTTACTTTTGATTGGTTGGTTTCGAAGTAGTGCTTTTTTTGGTCGTTTACGTATCACTTCATGTGTGGCACTTGGACGATTCCGATTACCAACTGGGTAAATCCATGGAGACTCAACCACCATTGTGGAAAACTTTTTTTTTCAATTTTTTTTCAATCAAACGACTTATCCGCTTTAGAAAACATTATTGATGAGAAAAAAAACAGTATCTTCTATCAAAATTATTGGACTATACGGTAATTTGTCGGTACATGTCAAAATATATAATGAAACTACAATACTCCAATTCAATTGAGCTACGACCAATGCCAAAAATCATATCATAGCCAACTTTTGATGCTGAATTTGATGGAAGGGTCAGAAAAAGATATTGAAAAAGAAGAAAAATATCATTTATAAGGAGAATCGTGAGTTTTGGGGTGTATTTTGAGAAACGGTATATATAGAGTGTATTATCAATGCATGTGACAAAGGATTGATAATCTTTTCGAGTGCTTTATTGGTTCTGAAGGTTTCAATTCTCTTAATACGCACATAAGTTCAGTTCTATAGCGAATGACCTTTCACAGGACTGTTCTCATTTGAGAGATAAACCTGGATAGCGCTATGATCAAGGGGGAAACGGCGGATTGCGTATTTTCGGGATTTTCAGGATTTTTTCCGTATTTTTAGGATTTCTTTCGTATTTTTAGGATTTTGCGGATTGCCAGAAGATTTCCAGAAGATTTTGGGATTTTTGTGGAATTTCGGGATTTTCACGAGATTTCATGGATTTTTACGGGATTGCATGGATTTTTACAGGATTTTTCGGGATTTTTGTCGTACTTCAGAGGTTTTGCACAGAATCTTATAATGAGAGACAATAGGTTGAGTCATAGGAAAAAATAAATCTGTCATCGTCAGTTACCTAGACACGTCACTTGTTATGATTGTTATCACACCAACTGGGACTTCAGAGGACATTAATTTATCGTATTTTATTGAAAAAAACAGAGCAAAGAAAAACAACAAAAATCAGAAAAAATGAAAAAAAAAGAACAAAAACTATCTACCTACAAGGGAGAAAAAGCGAATTATTTTGGATTTGAATCCCGAGAAAATCAAAAAAATCCCAAAAATCCCAAAAAATCCCAAGAAATTTCAAGAAATCCCAAAAAACCCGAAAATCCAAAATCGAAAGTAGTTTTCAGCAATATTTTTCGATCATATTCTCAAGTGTTTCGAACATAAATAGGCAGTTTTAAGTCCTCAATGGCTATCCTATGAGAGTACCCGTAAGTCCTTAACTGCTGTTCTATGGGGGTACCCATGGGTCCTCAAGGGCTATTCTATAGGAGTATCCATAATTCTTCAAGGGCTATCCTACGGAGATACCCATAGGTCCTCATAGCCTATCCTATAGGGTGCCCACAAGTCTTCAAGGGCTATCCTATGGGAGCCACCATAAGTTCTCATGGCCTATTCTATGGCGGTACCCATAGATCCTCAACGACTGTCTTACAATGGCGCTTATAAGTGTGCGAGAACCCCAGTTCAGTTTGCCGTGGTGGAGATGGCCAGCCAGCTCTCGTTCACATGAGATGCTACTCTCGAGCACCTCTTCGATTGAGCTCTCGGAAGCCATGGAGCTGAAAGTGTCATGAACCAATCGTTGAACCGATCTTTGATAAAAGAGTAACTCAAAATTGACCCAAAGTTGTGAAACGCAATCTCGTCGATGTAATACTAATTTTGAAGTAAAACTACTCCTTTAGGTGACTCAATGATGTTAAGCCAAGAAGAACAGTCCAGTTTTACTTCTTTAAGGAAACATCAGGTACACGATTCTTACATTACCCTTACGCCAGTCCCGTACCACATTCAACTTCAGTTACTAGATGACGTACGAGTAGCATCCTTATTATTGTCTGCCAGGTCCTGTGATTAAAACCCTTGAAAACCTGTGACGACTAACGCTAGATATCTCCTGAACAGTCAGCAGTACCCGACACTTCCATGGGATAACCCTTGAAGAATAACCAGAACTACCGCAAGACAGTCCTTGAAAAGTTAACGATACCAAACCTCGATAGCCGTTGGGAGCTTATGGGCGCTGCTCATGGAAAGCGCTTGAAGATTTATGGGTATCTCCACAGGAAATCACTTGAGGACCTATGAGTACCTTCATACGACAGGCGATGATGACTTATGGGTACCCATAAAATAGGGCATGAGGACCTATGGGTGTCCCGTTGGATAGGACAAGAGGACTTATGGACACCCCCATAGGACAGCACTTGAGGACTTATGGGTACCCCATAAGATAGTCCATGAGGACCTACGAGTGATCCATAGGATAGGGCATGAGGAACTATGAGTGCTCCTATAGAATAGCCCTAAAAAGTAGCACACTTTGAACGTTTTGCGACACCTTTTTACATGCACTTTGACGAGATGCCTAGTCAAAATCCTTGAAGAATGCCACTGTGGTGAATGAGAGACGACAGCCAAATTATTCCAAATAATGTATCTAGTGGTTATAGAACGTTGTTTTACAATAGGAAATACGGCATTCGAATGATAGACAAGAAAGGAGAAGTTTGAAAGTTCGAAAAGAAAATCTCAGGAATCTAAAAAAATATCCAAAAATCCCGAAAAATCCTGAAGAATTCCAAAAAAATCCCGTAAAATCAAAAAAAAATCTTTTTTGGATTGTAGAATCTAT